TTATAATTTCTTTATTGAAGAAGATATCGGCCAAAAGAGAGAGACAAAAAAACGGGGTTAAGAGAGAATTGATCAAAAGTAAGATATTTCTCGCCGAATCAGTCAAGCTGATTCAAGTCATAAGTGAGACTGTACACGTGGTGTTGATGTTTGCTGATCAAAGACCATGTCAGTAATAAAACTGAAAACCTTGAAGCTTCTTGGTCACTAATTTAGCTATGAATCTAACACGTACACAAATATAGGTTTGTCAATTTATGAAAAGGATACAAAGAAACCAATCTCCTCAATATCAAGACTTTATTACAGGACGCCAGTGACAAAAGAAAATCGTTTGGGTTACTTCGCTAAACTCTGTTTCTAATATTTTGGCTTAAAAGAAAAGAATAGCAGGCGAAAAGAAATAGCGACCAGTACAAAATGTCGGTGGGGAGAGTTTTGACTCGAAGAACCTCTCAGTTATTAAAGGCTCTTTGGAACAAACAAATATATCGCAGAACTGGTTACTTGACATAGAATTAATTTATGGAGTCAATTTGATTAAAAAACTATTACATGCCTAATCAATTATGGATAACAGCTTGCCTTCTGTCAGGTTTTAATTAAAGTTTGTGCAAGTTCTTATTTTGGGTGTAATAGTTCGGAAAATTGTCGTATATTAACATTGAAAGAAAAGAAATGAAATCGTCTGTAAGCTATCCTAACATCAAAAAGTTAGGGAACCTATTTTTCTCTTGTCACCAATTTTGGTTACAATAAAGCATATATCCAAAGGTTGTTGTTGAAAAACATGAGTTCAAATTCTGCATTGTATAATTAAGGTACCTCTGAAATGAAACCAATATGCATGTAAATTTTTTGCTATGTTTTCGTTATAAAAGAATTGGTGGTCTTCAAAGTTAGAGAACAGCTTGTTGAGAACCAAACTGATCCTCCACTTCCAAAAATGTCGGAAAACGTTACTGCGATGGTCAATGGAACACTGCCAACATTGAAATGCTCGAATCCAGCGGCAGAGAGAATTGGAAAAGCCCTCTTTTGCGGCTTGTTATTTGTTCTCTCAGTGTCTGCAAACTTTTTCATCGCGACAATTGTCTACAAGACAAGAGCCATGAGAAAGCCCATCGACTTTTTCGTGGTAAACATATAGCCAGGTCTGATCTTCTGTAACAGTTTTTCCTTTTTTCACTGCAGATGAACGGCTCCTGGCTGATTAGCAGTCCTCTTGGAGATGCGTTGTGTAAGCTGAATGTCTAGGGAGATATCTAGGGAGATATCTGCTTTTGAGTATCTGTTCAGAGCTTAGTTCTAATAGCAGTCGATTGATTCGGAGCTGTATATTTCCCTCTCCGTTACCCGCTGATAAGTTCAAAACTGTGTTGGCTCCTCATGCTCGTCTCTTGGATCATTGCCATGGCTTCTAATTGCTCGTGGAGTCCTCTCAGGGGCTTTCCTGTCTCCGCAGTGGAAGGAAGTATTTGGCAACTTATCGTCCTTAAAATACTTTTACCCGACATGGCTCGTTGTATTCTGATTTGTACTGGCTTTGGTTATAATTGCCGTAATCTACTTTGCTATTGCGATAAAAATCAAATCCCAAGTGATGACAGGCGAGCTATCAAACAACACAAGAAATGAGCGTTTGAAGAGAGAAAGAAATTTACTGAAGCTGTCCACTGCTATCGTGATAACGTTCGCATTGTCTTGGTTGCCACACATTACTGTTTGGTTCCTGATACTATCCATCAGACTCTGCAATTGAAGTGTTCTTCGAAAAGACACGACATACACCCAAGATGGCGGATGGAAATGAACATACTTTATTCTAGTAGGCATGCGCTAAATATAACCGCTGACCTGATGCTACAGCAATGATGTCATCTTGTGTTCTCGCTATCATCGCCGTGATTATGTCATTATCAAATTGTGCTATATAATCTTGTATCTGTTTTATTTTCAGTGGAAATTTTCGTCAGGGTCTTAAAGATATGCTCAGTTGCTTTACTGCTGGTGTCATGGCGAATTAAGTTGGTGTTATTTGAGGCAAGGCTTATTGCTGGTTATTCACACTCATTTGTTAATTAATTACTTAGATTTGTGAGTAGTGGCTAGACCTTGCTTGGAGCCGGTCTAGAAAAGGAAAAATAAGGCGCTTCCTTCCCTCCACTAGCCTGGGTGGACACCTTGGGCAAGTGTTAGCACACCCTTAGCCTCCCTTAACCAGGGTTACGGTCCCACTGCCTTGTAGTGGCTAGGGATAGCTAAAGGCTAAGGGAGCAGACCCCGACAGAAAAACCGGAGTGGAGCCCTGTCAGGCAGTTTTGACGCTATATCATTTTCTGGCAACTCCTGCAGTCGACCTGGTCCCGAACGTACTGGCCCTGCCTTTCCTTCGGACTCCACCAGCAAGACCGAGAGGGGGATTCTGGGACTTAGGCAAACCAGTATCTCCATATCAACCGCCCACGCAAGCGCATGGAGAAGCAACTTTGGCATGCCCTACTGCTTCGCCTGGCATGGAAACAAACCGGGGAGTGGCAGTTACCGGTTCTAAGTCATGGCTCGATTGGCGTAGAGCCAGACGCCAGGGGTCATTCCTGACAGTGGGAGGGGCTTTTTAGCCCCATTGAATAACTACCGCCCGCTTAAACTGGGCAGCCCCCCGTCAATAAGGTACTTTCCCGCCACTGCCCGCCTGTCTTGCTGGGGTGAGCAGGACTTAAGTCTGGAAACAGTCTGACAAGTGGGCTGCGACTTATTCACCTAAGAATCAAGGATCTATTAGAAGAAGACCAGCTCTNACAAAATATGGTCTGAAATTCATAGGCTATGTTTTATTTTCTGGTTTAGATAGAATATAACTAGCCACCGCAAAGCTGCTTGCTAAAGACACCTGATCTCCTGGTGCCGGAAAATGTCGGCAAACGTGACCGGCGCAGCGATAAATGGAACACAGTCCATGTCGACCTGCTTCAACCCCACAGCAGTAAGAATTGGTTCCACCTTTGCTTACTGTCTGCTTTCTGTTGTGTCACTGGCTGGAAATAGCCTCGTTGGAATCATCGTCTATAGGACTAAAACTCTGAGAACACCAACCAACATTTTGATTGTAAACATGGCCATGTCGGATCTGTTGTATCCGATTTTCTCCTTTACGAGGTGTTTGACAGAGATAAACACGGCCAGCAACTGGCTGATCAATGGTGCCCTTGGGCAAGCGTTGTGTAAGCTGAGTGTTTTCGCTGCAGATGTCTCAACTCTGGTGTCAGTTCAGAGCCTGGTGCTGCTAGCAGTGGATCGATTTGTAGCTGTGGTATTTCCTCTTCGCATCCTACTGATCAGTTCAAAGCGGTGCCGGTACTTCATTCCCGTCATTTGGATCGTCGCCCTGGCAGTCCATTCTCTATACTTGTTCGCCTTGAAAGTTGTCGAGTATTCAGAGGGACTGGCGTGTGTCCGTGATTGGCATGGCGTATTTGGAGAGTCCTTTTCGCCTGCAGGCTACTTTCTGGGCTTGACCATTGTTGTCATCTTCGTCCCTTTAGTTTCGAATGCCGTACTTTACTTCGCCATCGCCTTAAGAATTAAATCCCAGAAGATTCCAGGCGAGCAATCAGCAAACGCAAGAAAACAGCGTTTGAAGAGAAAGAGAAATGTTCTGAAGCTGTCCATTGCCGTCGTGTTAGTTTTTGCTGTATGCTGGCTGCCATTCAGTATCATGGTCCTCTTCCATCTCTTTTCATCAGANATGCGATGGCCCTTCACCAGCAGTTGACTGCCAACTTAGTTCCTGGTCGGAGTGGGGTCATTGTTCGACAAATTGTGGTGTAGCAGGAAGACAGAATAGAACTCGTCACCGGATTATTTTCGAGAGATGCGGAGGTTCATGTCCCGGCGGATCGGACTTGACAATGACATGAGCCTGCCCACGCAGGACCTGCTTTAATGGAGGGACCCTAATGAATGGAGCATGTAGTTGCCAAGAGGGTTATACTGGTTATTGCTGCGAGAAAGGTAATTCTACGCAAAAAAAGGCATAATCAAGATATAATTAGAAACAATCTGTTTTCTTCGGTTAAAGTCTGGGAATGATAGAAACTATCGCAAGGGCTACTTGGAAATCCATTTATGATAGTGATAAAGATGGCAAAAACGAAAAAGAAAACAAATTAAAGCACTGAATCCAACTTTTCTACAAAGTGGGTCTCACATGATCAGCTAGGTATAACGGTTGTAAAAATACACCAGTCCTAAAGCTTGCATCGAGTAGACAAAGAGAGTGTTGATACTACGAAATGTGTTGGCGAAATACGTTGACGAATTCCGAGTAATTACTTCTACAACTGCAAACTTTCAGTTTTGCCCACTTAAGTCGGCATTTCAAAAGCAAATTATACAAAAAATGTACAAATTTCGTTTTTTCAATTGGTAGAGCGCTGCACTAGTATCGCAGAGGTCAGTGGTTCGAATCCCGTACAGGCCTGAAATTTTTTTCAGGTCTGATTTCCACTATTGCTCAAATAGTGCTTTACTGCGAAGGATCGTTCTTATATACGTCTCATAACCGCAGTTCACTCATATGTTTCATATGTTTGTTGTTGTTCGATTTATCATCTACGGGTTTATATCGAATTAATTTGATGGCCTGCTCCCAGTTGGCTTGTTAGCTCAATTGGTAGAGCGCTGCACTAGTATCGCAGAGGTCAGTGGTTCGAATCCCGTACAGGCCTGAAATTTTTTTCAGGTCTGATTTCCACTATTGCTCAAATAGTGCTTTACTGCGAAGGATCGTTCTTATATACATATTACTGTTTGGTTCCTGATACTCTATCCATCAGGCTCTGCAATGATGTCATCCTGTGATTTTCAATATTTTGCCATTATCGCTGTGATTATCCCTGTATCAAATTGCGCTACAAAGTCCTCTATCTGTTTTATTTTCGGTGGAGATTTTCGTCAGGGTCATAAAGATCTGCTCAGTTGCTTTACTGCTGGTGTCATGGCGAATCAAGTTGATGTTATTTGAGGCAAGGCTTATCGCTGGTTATTCATACCCATTTGCTTCACAATTAGATTTCGAAATCGGAATCGATGAAAGTTAACTGAAAAATTGAAAATTTTCCTGTTTTGTTTCAGTTAAAAACTGAACATATCTCGAAATCTGTGTATGATTTTCAGTTAATACTTGTTCTCTAAACTAACTTCGCATCTTTTGCCAACTCATCGTAGTTCAAAGATATTCGAGAAGACATATCATTTCAAAAGATTCATTTAATGGAATCAGTAAATTGTGCCTAACGCAGGTTTTAGCTGTTGTTTGGACTTTATCGCGGCGATAATTATTAGTTTATTTTAAGTGTACATACCTTTTTAGACTCCTGGGAAAAAAGAGCTTTTGTTGAATTATTATGATTCCTGGGTATTTGTTTCGGTGCTTTGTCTCATCTCTGGACCGTTTGAGAGTAAAGTTTACCTGAGGATAGACGTTTTGTACTTTTAAAAAAGCTTTGTACAAAAAAACAGTTTTTCTCCAGCCTACACCTTTTCGAATATAGTATACCCTGCGGCATATCCTGGAATTTGATAGCAAAACCTTTCTGAATAGAGTGAATTTCATTATTTCTTTGAATAACGCCCAAGACGTACGAGTACAAATATCACACGGTATTCGTACTCCAGAGAACTGGTTAAACAGGTTTTCTCGCATCGTGCAAGCGACGAATTGGACTCCAATTCAGTGAATATACAAAAAAACAAATGACGGACAATTTGAATTGTTTTTCTGACGACAAAGAGTCGGAATGGGTGGCGAATATTGATCCAAGTTTATAAGATAAATCAAACGAACAAAAGCAGTTAGATGACAGTGACAATTTCATCATTTATTGAAAATAGAAACGCGCCTTAAAAAACTCCCCGGAAAAAAATATCCGCGAAATTCACTCACACCGAAATAACAATTTGACGTGTTGGATAATAAATAGATTATTAGACGTTTTGTCGTATCGCTGAGTATTTGTATTTTGACTCGCCCTATGGGCTCGTCATATTAGGGCACAACTCGTAAAAATACTGAGCGACACTACAAAATAAAACGTCTCAGTAAGATATAGATCTTCTTCGTGAACTTCGCACTCAACAAACTGTCTCTGAAAAACTTAAGAAAAACTGACACGTAACATTAAAATGTTCGTTGAGAACTAACTTACTTACATCCTGTTTATAGTTTTCCTTATGGCTAGTAAAACTCTATTTATCGATTCAAACCGTTGTTTGAACTCTGACTGCATATTTTCTGGTTCTACAATGTATTTCATACGGTTTTTAATGTTTTTAGACTCTGCCTGCAAATAAAGAGTTTCCGATCAATTAGTGGGAAAGTGAGAACAGATTAAATCGAATAAAAATCTATGCAGACGATTCCCGATAACTCGAACCGGGAAATCGAAAAAGGTTCAAGTTATCGGGAGTTCGAGTTATCGGGAAATAAAAATAGAAGGCCCGGGAAAAAAGGAAAAACTGTGTACACTGTTTTTCTATTCATACAATATTTATAGTTTACGTCATAGAAAGTGCGGCGTGCGGGGTTTTATTCACAGGTTGTTTGTGTCAAAAACCCGAACGAGCGAGGTACGAGCGAGTGAGGGCTTTTGACACAAACAACAAGTGAATAAAACCCCGTGCAAAGCACTTTCTATGTCGTGAGCTGTTTATTGCACATAACACGAGAATTTTCATTGAATTAATTTTCTGAACGCAAATTAGAAACAAAAACCCACTAATAATGATTCAAATTTCAGGTTCTGTCCTGGTGTACCGGTTCACAAGGGAATTACCATTGTTCTTTCTTTGTTTAGGAGTTATCGGCTAGCTATTGTGTATTGTTTGGTCTTTTGTATTGGCTCTTGTGAACCGGTACACGAGGACAGAACCAAATTTCATGGCAATGGAAAATATCGCAGTACATGTACATCAAGGAACTAAAGTGCTGAACGGAAAACTGCACTTACAAAAGTTCTTTTTTTAATCTAAGTACGATATCAATAAAGTAAGTTGAGCAAAGCACAAATTTTGCGAGCGCTTTTGAATTGAGAATACGAGCATGCGAGCAGTTGCAAAACTTTTGCGAGCACGAGCAAGCGAGCGCTCATGTAATTCTTTCGAGCAATTCGATTGGTTATACTTAGACACTTGAAAGCGCTGTACGCCATTCTGATTGGCTGCATAGGCTTTTTTCACATGTGAAAATAAAGTGGATAACTTTCTACAAATAAGCTCTATGGAGTAAAATTCTCGTGTTATGTGTAATAAATTCTTTAATCAGGTTTTGATGATAGAGAAGTCGAGTGAAAATAGGACTCAGTATTATTAAAAATTGCTTCGAGTTAGTGAGAGGCTAGAGTTATCGGGGGTTTGAGTTACCGGGGATTAAATTGCAGTAGATGTATGACAGAAATCCAGGGAGAAAGGCGCTTTTGGTTCAAGGTTCGAGGTTGGCGGGAGGTTCAAGTTAGCAAGGGAACGTTGATGAGTGCAAGTAGTCGTCTTCGGTAAAAGAGAAGGAAAAAATTAACTCTGATTTGACTCAATTTTCCAATAATCCTCCAAAGTATTTTGAACAAAATTGGCAAAAGCTCACTTTTACGGCCAATGTGAACGTTTTCATCTCCAAGTGCAAACAGCTGAAAGTAGACAGCTAAAAGTTCAAAAGGCGCCGTTAGCAATACTACGTAACTTCACGCTCAATTTCCCTATTTTAGAACAACTTCCTTACTCGTTCGTGATGATTCGGAGAACAGCTGTCAAGCTTCATTCAATTTCATGAAATTAGTCTATTTCGGTACTAGCCATTCCGTCATGTGCTCAATTCCTGTTTGCTTTTAGAGTGACATCGCGCCTTACCTTTGAGCTATCTTACTTGGGTAGGAGCCGGCATTCGTTTGTTGAGGGGACTTTTTTTCAGTGACCGCAGGCCAATATTCACCAACACGGATCGAGCAAGGTGAGTAAGTAGTTCATTATATTCACGTACTGCAAAGATGAAGTCGAAAGAAGAATAAAACTGTGATGAAGTAATTAACCGGATTAATTTTAACTAGTTTCTGTTTTATTACCACATTTGTCTGTTTAGTGTGGAAAATAAACTGGAAAAGAACGAACTTTTCTGTCTTGATATCTGCGAAAGAGTAAATATCTCTCTTTCAATTCTTTTAACCGAAAAGTCTATAACCATCTTCAGTTAACGGAGTAAGTCTGGTGCAGTTAATGAGTGCAGTAAAAGGGACACGGTCATGGTCTATGCATGCTCGTGTAGAGGATCGAAACTTGAAAAAGACATCCTGACTTTTTCAAGTTCAGCATTCACAAATTCAAGACGGCGTCTAGCGGAGGATGCGGACGTGGCGGTAAACGCATTAACTCAGGCGGAAACGAAAGTTTGAAGACAGAGGGGAATACAAGAAAGCGTGGCTGGGAAACCATAAGCGCATTTATGTGGAAGAAAAGACATTTAAGTTGTGGCTGCAGGCAAAATTTGATGCAGGTTGAGTCTCTCAGTGACAGCGATTTTACTGATAGGGAAATAAAACAATGCCAGATATCACAGACATTTGTAGCATTTGCAAGGCAGATGTTTATTCTACTACACATTATGATTGGAATAAATATAGGCAGATGAGGACTGCTCGTTCGAATCCTGAAGAAAGGGAATACACAAATTATCTCGTACGCTTTCTGGACATTCAAGCCACAAAAAAGTGAATGTATACAACTTTA